ATTCTTATTTTTATTTTATTTGTTTGCCTCCTATTGAAAATCCCCCAATTTCTTTCTACTAATTTGGAAAGAAATAATTTCCTACCCACTCCCTGTGGAATCGACCCTACTTGCCATTGTACACAAAAGTAATATTCTTATAGATTAATCTGGTATATCGGATCAAGCAAACTCTTCGAGAACAGGATGAATCAAGTAACCCATTGCACACCTAGGGTCCCTGTTCCAGTACTTGGATTTGTTCTATAATTAATTGTGGTGGTAATTAGGACTTTTTAGTAATTATTATTGCACAGGTTTGGCACCTGTCAGTTACCAGTTGCTATAGCTCTGAATTCTGCGTTCCATTAACAATACAGAGGTTTTTTTTTTTTTATTGACAAGGAACCACAGCCACTATTCGGGGATGCATGTTGGATAAATTCCACTCCATGCAATAGTCTGCCAAACACACGGAAGAATAAAACGCACTAGGCAAATCCTGTGTGATTGGCGGATGTACCAGAAGAGGATCGAAACCGGGTTAGCAAGAAGACATTGCACCAACACTATCATCTCGGCTAGCTCGTGCAAATATTTGTGACATCTACTGAATGCATCTTTTTGAGAGATTTTTGATAATCTATTCCATCAATTTAGGCCTTTTATCTTTTCTTGACAATGGGACTTCTATGGATCTATCCAATTTATTCGGGTTAGCCAAAAGAGGTTAATTACATGAGTTTCAAACTAAAATTTGGATTCATAATCCAATCCGTTTTATTTAGTTTTGTCCTTTTTCCCACCTTTAGAAGAATAAACTTTCTCTATTGTTATAATTTTCTGAAAGATAACTATCTCGGTTTTATATAAAATTTATATAGAATTTTTGAAAAAGACTTTTCTTCGTAAGAAAAGACTTACTATCTTTGGGATCTGATCCTACACCGCTGCTCAAAACCTTAGCGGATAGCCTTTTTATTTTACTTGTTAGTTTTGATGCAGACTAGCACGGAGCGGATGGCATCAACGTCATATCTTCGATGGTTGAAAATGTCAACAAGGGTTAGGTGATGGAGATTGGATTTGCATCTATTATGGTCGGTTCGGATATAATTATGGTCGGTTTCATGACCATCATGACGCTGCCTTCTTCTCTATTTGCTTTTACAGCAGAGAAGACCGACTGACGCTGCTTCCTGGGATTGTTTATCTTGCCAACAATTAGTCTCTAATTTTTTCCCCCTTGTCAGTAAAGTACATCTATTTTGCTAATGACTTTGTTGATGATTGCCAGCGTCTTTTTCTTGGGTTTATGCAGCTCTTCGCTTTATTTTGTTTATTGAAGATTTCCTAATGCATAATTCCTGTTATTGAAGTTCTCATGCTCAGCATCTTGTGATTGAAGTTCTTATGTTAAAAGGCTTTGTAATTTAGAGCAATCACTTTCCAGTGATTTGTGTAAGCCATTTGGTTCAATTAGATTAACAATTTTTATGAAGAAATGCTACTATATATATCTTATGGCGATATCCACTGCTTATCCTAGGCACCATGCCACACAAAACTAGTTCATCTTTTATTTGTGATCTATTGAATTAGTTTACCGCTTTTCCATTTTGCATTTGGGTAAATACACAAAAGTTTCCTGTTCTTATTATTTGTTTAATTTTATTTTCTTATTAAAAAATTGAAAATAAGATGGAAATGTTTAATCTTTTTGCGTGAAATTTCTTTGTTTCCCAATTGAATGCATTGATTGTACTTGAAAATTTGAATATAATCTTTATACAAACTATAAAGTAGAAAGGAAATTAGTGTTTGAACTTTGAAAAAAAAAAATTAGCTTAACAAAAAGGGCATTTTGGTACATAGATTTTCATTTTTTTCTTTTTGGTCAAAATAGCTGATTCTGAGGTCCAAGTGTTTTAAAATATTTAGTAAAAATCCTTTCTATAGAAAGTAGTGAGTTTTAGTATGATCTACCTGCTTCTATTTCTTGAAATCTTTAATTTGTTTTGGGATAAATTTTTTTCTAAAAATAAAAAAGAGTATCAATAGTGATTTTTCACTTACTTTCTGACGACTCTAATCTGTGATCTCTTGACTCAAATCGCTTGTAGCTTGAGATAATTGTTCAATGGTTAAATTATGTAAAGTATGAAAACGTTAAATTAATGCCTAACGTTTTCATACTTTACATAATTTAACTGATACTAAAAAATTCACATTTCAGTTTGTAATGGAGCCTTTTTTATTATCCTCTATAATTTTGTTAAAAATAGTAATCAGTTCTTGTAAATCTTGCTTAACAACGATAGAGTGGATGGCTTCAATTACTGAAAACTGCTTCTTTAACCATAAAAATTTTTTACCAAAATTACAGGGTCCAACTGTATTAGAAATTAAATTACAACTCTCTCATCTAACAATAGCCAAAAGCCCAATACTACAGGTTAAACTCTTTTTTAATTTTTTTTGTCACAAAAGATAAGGAGCATTATAGTAATAAGAAAAACTTCAATAAATAAAAGTACGCTTACCCAGCAGGTACCCACAACGGATCTTCTGTCCCACACCCTGTGCCACTCTCTGTCTCACTTTTTATTATATTGCTATTTCTCATTCATAAACATCATGTTTTAGTTCTTTTTTGCTTCCTTATGATCCAATAACTATTAATTAAGTAAAAAATAAATACAACACCTTCAAAAAAACAATATATAATAGAAAATTAAAAAATATAGCAGAAAATTCATAAAAAATCTCATTTTTTATGTATTTTGATTTTTTGAGTTTGTTAAATTTTGTGTATTACTCAATTAATAGTTATTGAATCATAAGGAAGCAAAAAAGAACTAAAACATGATGTTTATGAATGAGAAATAACAATATAATAAAAAGTGGGACAGAGAGTGGCACAGGGTGTGGGACAGAAGATCCGTTGCGGCAAGTACCATTGTGGCAAACAAGTACCGACTACCAAGACCAAGACAACTGGTGTTCTAGTTGTCTTGGTCTAACCTAAGGAATCACTCTATCAAGGAGAAAGTCATTACTCTTTTGACAAAAAAAAATAAAAATAAAATAAAAGAGAAAGTCATTACTCATTAGTACATGGTACGCAGGAGACGGGGCAAGGACGGTCATCAGAAGGACCGTTCCTGAACAATGCACGGTCAGGATTTGATCCAAAAAAATTATATATTTCAGATAATTTCTTGTATTTCGTTTTTAACAACGTGTGTGGGATCTACAAAAATTTGTTCTAAAGTTACATTTTATGCAAATAAAATTACACCGTGTGTAAATAAAGTTACGCGATGTGTAAAATACACAAAACCGCTAACTGTTCCTGCCCGTGGTCCATGGTACGTATGTGGTTCTTTTTTTTTTTTGACAGAAATTTGCGGAAATCTATGAGCTGCACGTGCTAGTTTTTTTTTCTTGTCTTTTTGAAGGAAGAGTTGATTACATGGTCCAACTGTATTAGAAATTAAATTACAACTCTCTCACCTAACAAATAGCCAAAAGCCTAATACTACAGGTTAAATATAAGGGATTTTGGGAACATGCATTGTGCATTAGTAGGGTGTTTTTGTTAAGGGATTTTGTAAATTTATTGAATCTAAAAGTCAGAAGTAATGAAATGTTTTATAGTAACAATGTAATCTAGTAAGTGAATTAATCCTTTTAAGGTTAGCATGAAGTAAAAGCGAAAGATTTTAGCAATATCTACTCGAAACTTAACGGCTACGTACATAAAATTACTACCGTTTTCTTAAAATAGTGATTTCCCATTAGTGTATTGTTCATCTTTTGTATCGTGAATGTTTTCACATTAACCATGATTAGTGTCATATTATAGGCAGAAGCAAAATCATGCTTGTTATAACATTGGTGATTGGTCTTATACACTCTCTCAACTTATACGTAATTTTATTTGCATCTCAAATGTGAATATGATAGTGGAAATATGTGCATTCATTTAAATTATGCTGCATAAACATTGGAAAATATTTTGAGAGATATTCTTTTAATCTAGACTACCTCAACTACACTCCTGTCAATCCATGAGACACAACAGTGGTTTTAATTGTCATATTAAGGATAGAAATGTACTTAAGCAAAGGAAAAAATGAAAAGTAAAATAGCAAATTAAAGTGTGGAATTGAAGTGAAAAAAACCATAAATGACCTTCTTATTGTTGCTTGGTGAACAATGAAAGGAAACAACCGGAAAATTGGGATGACCCAAAAGAGGAGAGCCTTTATTTTATTTTATTTTCTTAAGCGGGAGGGGCTTCGCGGGGTTGGGGGGGGGGAATTAGGAACCAAACTCAAATGAGGTTTTTATTGAGCAAAAATTGATTCAAGTTCAAGTAGTTTGAGTTTTTGACTTATAAATTTTAATTTTATGCTAATCGAGCCAAGTTTGAACCAAGGTTAAATATTTATCGAGCACGAAATGCTGTTTAAATTTGACTTGATTAGTTGATGAACCAAATTCAAATAAACTGTTACCCAATTGAACTCAATTCAAGTGTCGAATAGTTTGAATCATCTATCAATCCTATTAAGCTATGTTATATCAAGAGGTTTAGATTTGTTTTTCTCATAATGGATCTCAGAAGCATAATCATATGTTGCAGCGTTTTTGCGAAAATTTATTGACTGACTATATGAGTATATGTTGCATATTGAGTAAATCAATCCCAGAAATTTTAGTGCAGAAATGAGTAAAAACTAGAGGTGCATTTAGCTGAGGGTAGGGTGGTGGGAATATTGCAAGACTTTACCTTGATCCTTTCGAAACTGTATCGAGGGAAGATAGCACCAATGATTAACAAATTAGAGATGCATTCAGCTGAGGGCCCGATGGCTTTGTAATTTGCCACAACCTTTTTTTTTAACTAAATAGTGATTTTCTTTCCAGATGGGCAAATTGCTATTAGCAATAGATTAGAAAATGCGAAGGGGGCAGTTTCAATCAAATATGAATATGGGCAGCACAAAAAATGAACAAATTGAGAAATATCAATTAGATTAGCAGTCAAAATAAACAATTGAAAAATCACAAGAAAATGATCCATGGCTATTGTTTAAGAATGTATAACTAAGCGCATTTAATGATTTCATCGGATAATTTCAAACCCTATTTAAGAATGTATAACAAAACGCATTTAAGGATTTCGGAGAAATTATTTTATAATTGCTAACGTATGTAAGTGCTAATGTTTTAATGCTTCCGTTGTTTTTTTTTTTTTGGGTTTTTTTAAATTTATTAATTTGGCAACTTCTCCAAATTCAAAAAGTTATATAATAAGACTAACAAATTTATTTCTTTTTTCCGTGTGAGATAATGAACCAGTAGACCATCTAAATCAATTTTTTTTTTTTTTTTTGTTTTTCTACATCCACCAAGAAATAACAACAACCTACTTGTAAGATAAATCTTGTGGAGGTAAAGAAACATATTAAGTTCATAGTTACTCATCATATCATATCACATGAAACATGTTCACATAATTGATTCAGTAATTTTAGCAATACATGTATTCATACTGAAAATTGATTTTATCTAATCCTGAGTCAAATAAAAAAGCAGGAATTTCATCCTATTTCATCCTTAATTTCCTTGGGTTTCTTTCCGTACAATGAGTTTGGGAGGAAATTGCATAAGTGAAGCGATGAGATGCAAGTATGAAATCTCAAGAACACATGGAAGCCATATATATTTCAACCAAAAATAATGTATTAAAAAAAAAGAAAAAGAAATTCAGCTCTTACTTTGGATTTGGAGAGAATGAATACTCTGGCAACAGATGATTTGTTGAATCTGCAGAAATTCCATTTATGTGGTGAAGCTACGTTAAAAAAAATTTTTAATTTAAGGGAAAAAAAATAAAACAGGCCTGCACTCACTTGAAAGAAAATGAAACCTCTGGCAGTAGCTGGTGATCTTGTGAATAATAAAAAATTCCCAGTATATTGTCCACCTACTCACTGAAAATTAAGGAAAAGAAGAACTTTCCGAGGAAGATAATAATGGTTTCAAACAAAATACAACGAAAAGTAGTAGTAGCAGTAGTAGGTAAGGAGTCACTATCTTCTTACTGATGAAAATTAAAGTAACGTGAAATTGGTCATGAGTGTCCTGGCCGTGTAGTAATAGTCTGTAACACAATTATTGAACTGGTGGACCTATAGATTAGAACGGCATAAGAAAGCAGACTGAAATTACTGCATAATTGCAAGGTACTTAGTATGAAATTTATTTTAAACCTTTAAACACTAGACACACTCCCATTAAAATCCAATAAGAATGAGAAAACAGAGAAATGAATATATATTTTAGAAACTACATTAATATATATTCATGTAAATTGAAAGTACACAGACATATTGCTACTTGCATCTAAATCTTGGTTTTATATGTTTACGAAAAGTACTTTCAAAATACACCATTTTATTAGCTTAAATGTTACATCTAAAAAATGGCATGTGTATTAAACCAAATACTTAAATATTTATTTGGCAAAGCAAAAATGAATTGGAATGCAAAGCTTAATTAAGAGGTATTTGTAATTGAACTTTAAAGAAACTGTACTTAATGTAATAAACTAACGTTTAGCAAGTCAATATGCAATGCTAAAGCAGTTTATAACAAGTTCAATTTTATAAATCAATTAACTAAACAGTAAGGTAAAAAATATTCTAGACAGGGGCAATAGACAATTTATCAAAATCTCAAGGGGGTGATATAAAGGCTTTCAATGAAAAGTTTCAAAATTTCCAACGATTAAAAGGAATATGTGAAAACTCGCTAGCCGGCTCTGCCACTGGTAGCCCTACAATATTCAATCAAATCTCTAAATATGGAGAGCACAAAAAATGAGCAATAAAGAAGGTTCCAGAATTGCTAATAAATGTGTAAAATGAAATAGACACCGATAAAAACTCACACTAACTAAAAAAATAATGTATGTTATAGTTACATTTTCCAAAATTTAGATTTTTGGCTGATTTATATTTCAGTAACAAAAGAAAAGCAAATGAAAAGATTAGTTTATTACAAAAAAAAAAGGGGGGGGGGGGGGGGGGAGGGAGGCCGGAGTTATGGGTTAAAGGGAGAATTAGGACATAGATTAGGAGATTGGTTGTAAATTCCCTTAAAAAGATCATGTAGGTAATTTGCAAAAATTTCTTGTTTTAATCGCCAAAAAATGATACAGTAAACTGACTAAAATTTGATCAAGTTACTAAATTTATAACTATTTGGTTCAACAAGTCTACAATAATCTGTGTCTTTAATTAATACTAGCATATGAGAACGTGCATTGCACATTGGCAGGCTGTTTTTTTGCTGATGATTTTGCAAATTTAGTGAATATAAAATTGGGAAGTAATGAAATGTTGTATAGTAACAATGCAATATAGCAAATTAACTAATCCTTTTTAGGTTCTTGGAGCTGAAATTTAAAAGCATTCGGCAAAAGAAAAACCAAATTGACATTATCGGCATAAAGTGTTGTGATAGTTTGGTCAAGGAATTTATCTAACAACAGTAACACATCGCATCAAAACTTTCTTTTTCTTTGCGTACGCATTGTCGGCAATACTATTTTTCTTTTTGCGTGTGTGACCAACAAAGATAGTGGGGACATGATAGTGATAATATCGCGATGTTACGAAACAATTTAAAGTATGGATGTCCCTTTGTATTCCCAAAAAGATTAATACTTGATTTATAGTTACATTATATACAGAAATTATAATCCATAAATCTATTCATGTAGTGGAGAAACCGTTTCATAGGTTTCTTCATATTCTTGTAGTAGTGAGTATTTAATAGAATTGATATATCTTTAATCTTGTAATATCTATATATAGAGGTACATTGATACCCTTTTATGAGGACTTTTGTATTAGTTGGAATAATAAGATAATCACTCTCTATTTCTCTACTTCTTTCTCTAATATCTCCAATATTTCACTTGATATTGTAGTGGTTTATTTTATTAGTTTTTGTGACAGCCCCACCTTCCTCTAAGGCGAACCAAAGGGGTTAGCGGACTGCCTGTCCAACTCTCGTCAGGACTAACGGTGCAGATTAGAGCTATCTAATACGTTCCGGAACTTACTAACGAGCGTAAGCAAGTCAAAATGACAAAATAACCCAAAATAAGAAAAATGAAATCCGGAGTCGGCCATGATAGTAACCGACCCGTCAGAACCCAACCGAAAGAGCACGCAAACATTCACATCTGAACTTTAGCGATTACAATCCAAAATTACAATCCAAAATGACATACAAAAGTTTTCAAAATTTAATACATATACACGGTTTGCCAAATCAAAAGAGAAAACACCCCAAAAGTACACTTAGGGTTTTAATACATGAGCTATACAAAAGATATGTTCAACTAACTCAATTTGGCAGCCATTTGTCAAATCCAGGCCAAAAGGGTTTATTTTCCTGTAAGGAAAACAAAAGGGAACAGAAAGGGGTGAGCTTGCGCTCAATGAGGTACCAAACAGATAGCAATAAAATCATGGCATTTCACGTTTAGCAAATCAAGTACACATGCTAGATGTAAAGCAAAGGAACCAATGATTCAATCAGAAGGATACAGGTGGCTCTCAGGAGCCAAATTTCCAGCGCAGTATTTGATCCAAACCAGTTGACTCTCCGTCAACGTATATAGAACCAACGCGTCCGTAGACCCTTCTTTACACCGAATTCCGTCCACCAAACACCCCTTTACCGGGCCCGCTCACCTCAACAAAAACAGAAATGGTAATACTCGAGTATACCCGGAATCAAGGGTCTCAATACCCAAAGATCCCAAAACAGACTACCATGGTTCGTTATCTAATCGTCCAGGCCCTTGCCGGCCCGACTCGAATAATTTAGCCACAGGATTTGAGCTCATAGGTCACAGAAAAATCGTTGGACTCAAGCTTCCAAACGACGTCAGAACAGATACAGATCCAGATACAGATAACAGATACAGATAGCAGATTCAGATACACATTCAAAATTGGCATATGAACAGACCAGAAAACGAGTGTGATAAAGTACACCCTCGCCTCCATTTTATCAAAACAGTATTTGGTTTCAATAGTCATAAATCAAGTATTCAGATATTCAGATATTTCACATAACGGGTAGCAGGTAGTGGAACACTCACCGGCTCAACTTCAAAAGTTTTCACTTCAGATTGGCCTTAATCGCCAAGAAACCCTAAAATAATCAAAATAAACCAATTGAAGGTTTCACTTCCAGAATCGAGTAAACAGAATGCACCTGTGAGGCTCGACTACTAGTCGTATGCCTCGCCAAATAATTACTAATGCAAGGGTGCAAAACATGATTTTTGGGAACAAAAAGGTAACATGAAGACCTAGGTTCAACAACCCAAAAGCCCTTCATTTCTACCAAAAGGCAAATCCAACTTAAAGGAACCAAACGGCCTAGAAAATCGGGCAGCACTTCCCCTAAAATTCTTACTTTTCCAGCCATTAAGGCTTCATTATTTCCTCGAATTAGTCCCAACATCTCACACAAAATTCACCTCATTTCCCAAAAGCCGTTCACTAGACTCAAAATAGTACAAGTACAAAAGTTAGCTAGGAAATGACCGGAATAAGAGTAAGCCTTAAAACATGTAAACAAGTACAATGAGATTCGATAACGAATCATAAATCAATGCCAAATATGACCCCAATAGGGTTCCATAAACATATACAAACATTAGAGAAAACCAGAAAATTCGGAAATGCAATTAGCTTTGGCCTTGAAAAAAACAGTTTTTGACCTCTTTTTACGGTAATGGCACCAAATGCCCTAGAATTATCGGATGAAGGTGTAAGACCCACCATTTAGAAGCTAAAAGACAGGGCTACAACATCACAGAAGGTCACTCAACCCAGTTTTGAGTGGAAACAGGTCAAAAATGCAAGATACCACGTCAAAACGTAAAACAGATTCACCAAAATGCATTCTAGCGGAAACATCATAACTCAAGCTCTACAAGTCTAAATCCAGAAATTCCAAAACCAACTGAAAGCTAAGAAACAGGGATAAATTTCATCAGAAGGCCTCAACAACTCATTCGGAAGCAATCCAGACCAAAACAACCAATTACAGAAGCAAATCCCAATTTCGGGTAAAACCAGAACAGCAATAGTAATTTCGACTTATCTCATTCTACACTACTCCAATTGACCTGAAATTTTGTAGGCACCTATAAAATATCATTCCCTACAACTTTCATGTTTTGAGCTAAGACCAATTCGACCTCTATCTATGACCTAAAATTTCGGACAGAATGAAGAACCAAGGAACCCTAATTTTCCAGATTTCTTCCAAAACAGAAATTGATTGCAATTGTCCACTTTCCACCTCCTATAGTCATTAGAAACCATATCCAATCATCATAGATAACCACACCATCATACTTATATTAAAACAGAAAAATCCCCAAAAATTACCAAAGTTCATCAATTCAACCAAGAATCACAATATAATCCATAAAGTGGCACCTTATACCACCACTAAGTATCAATTAAGCATCATTAGAGGGAGGAGAGTGGTACTTCACGACTTACCTTTAAAACAAGAGAGAGAGAGCTATGGGTCACCTTAACCTTCCAAATAACTTCACCAATCACCTCAAAATCACTAAGTGAAGAGGTTTTATGGAGTGATTTGAAATTGTATCGGTTTAATTTGAAGATTGGAGCAAGATTATGAGGTAGGAAGTTGGAGGATTTTGTTCTTCTCTTGAGCAAGAGGTTCGGCCACAAGCTTGTAAGAAATGGAAGATATTTGGTCAATTTTTGGTTTTAATTAGTAATTGGTAAAAGGTTGAATAGTAAGTCAAAACAAGATTTAATCATATGGTGACACATGTCACCTTCATTAATTACTTGCCTAACTTTTGTCTCTCTCACACCAACCACTTGGTAACCTCTAAATATCTCATAACACCCGGTAAAATAATTCCAGTATTCAAAACTTAATCTAGTTGGCCGAATTTTTCCGAACTTTTCGCACTAGTGGGTCCCACGTCCGGTATACGCTCTTAATTTCTCAAAATCCATTTGATACTAGAAAAATCATCTAAAAACTA